AAAAAATTTTTTAAAGATAGTAGTGATGAATTGGGAAGTGTTAGTAGTAAAAGAGCTGCTGATAAAGACACTCAGGGTGTTGATACTAGTAATATTGATAATTTAAATGAAAGGATTAAAACTATGGAATATAAGATTGAAAAGATTTTAGAGTTGTTGATAAAAGAATAAAAGCAACATTTATATTTATTGTATCTATTATTTATTGTATTTATTATTTTTGTAAACTATTATTTGTCAAATTATATTTATATTTTTCTTTTATAAATAAATATCAAAAAACTGATTATAAAATTAAAAGAATTGATAGCGAGCAAGAAAATCATTCGAACTTTTAATGCGTATGGCGCAAATCTACCAAATGAATGTTAATCGGTAGTCTAAGAAAATTAAATAAAATATAAATAATAATAATAAATCAATAATAAATAAAAAGATAAAAACTAGGATTTTGCAAGTACTAAGTATAATACTATTAAAACATAATATCTAGTACAGGCATTATGTTTTAATAGTATCATATCTGATACTGTACATGTAGAACTGTAAAGCTAACCTTTCTAAATACATTTTTAATAGTACTATATTTATTTTGCTTCTTTTTTGTTATTAAATTCTTCTGTTATAATATCTAAGTCTAATATATACTTTATTTTGACACTATATACTTAGCTTTTTTTTTTCTTTTGCTATAAAAACTTTCTAAAAAAATCTTATTTTTATTATTTTACTTGTTAGTTTATTATAATTAGTATAATGATTATAGTTATTTTTTTTTTAATATTTAGCAGTTATGCTAAAACTTTATTTAGATTTGTTTTATATATAATAAAAACATTATTAATTAGTCTCGAAGATCTGAGATCTTCCTGTCTAGTAAGAAAGATCTCAAATTGTAATAAATTCTTCTTTTTCTGCATACTAATTGCTCTTTATTGGCTAGCTTATTTCTGTTTTGTTAGATGTAGTTATATTGCTTTTTGCTTTTCTTTGTTCAAAACTTTTTTTAGTTCTTCTTTAGCTTCTCTTTTAATTATGTTTTTGTTTATATAATCTTTTTTGCTAACTCTGCTAAGCTGATATTCTCTGGCTATTTGATTAATAGCTATTGGTTTATTTACAATAAGTTGCAAATACTTATGCTTTTCTTTTTTGTTGCTTAAATTAGCTTTGGCATCTCTGTATTTTTTTTTGTAATCAAAAATAATTATACACTAAAGATTACCTTTAGCAAAATTCTCTGATATTTCTTTTATATAAGTATTTTTTTTTAATACTATCTGAAGATTTTTTCTTTTTGATATATATTCTTGTTTATTATATTTGCTAATACTACTTTTGTAATTATGTCTTCTTTTTCTTCATATCTTTTTTTCTTTAGTACCTATATACTTTCTTCTAGAGATATATTTTTTAGACATAGTTTTAATTCTTAATTTAATCTTTTAAGTTTTTTTTCTAGTATTTTACTTTTTAGTTTTGGTTCTAGTATATTTTTTGGTATTACTATATTTTCAAATTTTAGTTTCTTGCTATTAACTTCTAAGTATCTATTTCTTTAATTTCTATTTCAACTTCAACTATATTTTTAGTATATATTTGAATTTTCTTATCTATTAGCTTAGTTTTATTTATTATTTCTATTTCTTTTATTTTAATAGAACTTTTAGCTACTTATAATAAACTTTGAAAATCTTCTTAGAAAAGAATTATTAATTCTGTTTAAAATTGTTACTTTCTGTATGCGTTAATGAACAGAGTGTTTAAATAGATAACTCATAAGCAGATTATAGATATAGCAGCATAGTGTAGAACTAATTAAGTGGCCTAATACTTGTGTAGCAGACTACTTAAAATAGATAATGACTAAAGTTATACATGTAGCTTGTTGTATACTCTTTATGTAATTACAAACAGTAAAGATTATCAATGTATGATCCTATTGATAATTCTAATAAAATTCCTTTGGCAATGTAAGCTACCTTAATAACAAAAAAAAAAAAATTGTTACTTTCTTGATAATTTTTCTCTAATATCTTGTAGTAGTTATTATTTCTTAATTAATATATATTATTTTTGTAACTAACTCATCTAAGTATATTGCTAAATCCTCTACTAAGTTGTTACTATTATGTATCATCTCTTTACTATATAGTTAAATAACTTTACTTATTAGTTTTTTGAAATTTTTTGTATTCTACATTATGACTATTCTATATTTATTTTAATTTTATAATCAATTTAATTTGATCAATAAATAATTTAAGATTATTTAATATTAAACTTGTAGTTTTTTAAAAGTTATCTAGTTTTAGTTTAATATATAACTACATATAATATATACTATTAGTTAAGTTTTTTTTTTTAAATTCAGTAGCTATACCTCAACTTTATTCAAACAGTTTGCAAGGCAAACTTTTTATATTCAAATTTACATTCTCATATATCTGACTATTCAGCTAAAACTCACTTAGTTACTCAAATAGTACCTATATGTAGCATACTATAGTTAGTCTTTTAAATTCACAATATCAAATTCAGTTACCTAAATCCTTCTGTATTTCAGATAGTCCTAACAACTCCTCAAAAAAAAAATTGTTACTATCTAAAAGCTCTGAAGCTAACTAACAAAGAAAACCTTGTCCTAAGTTAAAAATTTGTTAGGCAGTAACATAATAGAACAGGCTATATAAAAAAAAAAAGAAAAAAAAAAAATGAAGTATCCTTTAACCTAGACCAGATTCAAAAATATTAAGTTAGCAGACTTATAACCTATCTCAAATTATTTTCTCTCTAATATTATAATCTATTCTTATCACCTTATAATAGTATATTAATAGCTATTTGTATTTTCTCATATACTTGTAGAACTATTTTTAACAAAATAAGCAAAACAAAACCTGTATTTCTATATATTTATTTTCTGTTTTGTTTATTCCTATAGTCATGCACCTAACAGAGTATATCTAAAAATAGATATAATAAACAATGCTAATCTTTTGTAGAAGAGAACCTAAATTCTCCACTTTTGTTAATATAAATAAAAAGCTAGTAAGAAAAAGCTTGCAATATATAGTTGTTTTCTAAGACTTTAAGGAGTATGTAGACAAAATATTTGGTTGTTCTTCTGCTTCTTAAGCCTTCTTTTACTAACTTTGTTAATAAAGAGTTTAGTTCTAAAAGTTCTTTACCAAAATTTTTTATATAAAAGCTCTATCTCCTGCTAGTTATCTTATATAATATTACTTTTAGCTTGCATGCTGAATATACAAAAGAGTCCCTAAAGAGAAGTAGAACCCTAGTTGACTTTTGTAAAAACTATTGTTGTAAAAGAGTCTTCTTCATTATATTCTAATAAAATTTTTGTTTTTTGCTTTTTCAGTTTTTTGGGAAAAAAGATTATCAGAAAGAGTTGTTTTGATTTTTTTGCTATTAGCTAAGTTTTCTTATATATCATATAAATTCTGTTTATATAATTTGTTTTCTATTTTGTTTTGTTTAATTTAGAGATTTGTATAATAAATATAATCAGATTTTCTAGAGTTTAGCTATTCTCTAAAAAATATTACTAAAAGTATAAAAAATTTTCTCTAAGAATATTTTTTTCTATATCTTTTTAAAAAGTCTCTTGATTTTTTTTTAGACTTTATATTTAGTTGTTTTCTTTATCTAAAATTTTTTTTTTTAGTAAAGTTTTATTTATTTCTTAGTTAAATTTAGAAGTTTTCTATATTTTTTCTTTAGCTCTAAATTTGGTTCAAATAAGCTACAAAGAGAATATATATTAATTTATTATTTTATTTAAAAACTTATAATTAATTTACTTAGTATAAAAAAAGTTTTTATTATATATAATTTATTTTTTTTATCTATAAATTATATAATATAATATAGCAAATCTTGTCTTTTAATATTTAATAGTATTAATTATTAGACTAATAAGTAGTTTAGTTAGTAAAAATATATTAATTTAATAAATAGTTTAGATGTCTATAAGTAAATATTTTTTTTATTATACTGTATATTAGATTTTTTTTTTTTATATTTAAAGTAGCTTATATTGCTAGATGATTTTTTTTTTTTTTTTTTTACGTTTAAGGTGGCTTATATTGCTGACGGGATTTTATTAGTATTTGCATACAGGATTATACATTGATAATTCCTACTGTTTGTAATTATATAAAGAGTATACAACAAGCCATACGTACAACTTTAGTTATTATCTAATTTA